CAGTAGACAGATTTATTGAAAAGTATGTTTGTGTTTCTCACATTTGCTTGACAGTTTTTCTGGTTATAGAATTCCAGGTTGAAATTAATTTCTCCTCAAAACTGTGATGATGACACTGGTTTCTTGCCTTTTAACTAAAATTGTGATTCAGAAATCTGAAACTTCTGTAGTTACTGAGTGTGTATATGCTCTTTTTTTTTCTTTTTTCCTCCCACCCTCACTTTCTTTCCCTCCCCACTTTTACAATAATAGGCATGTAAGTAAAAGAATATTACAACAAAATCATAGAAACCTTTATTAATCAAAATGATCAAAATGTAAAACTCTTGTTTCTCAATATAACCTCCGTCTAGGTCTATACATTTCTGAAGGTGGTGTTTCCATCTGTTTAGCCCTTCCCCCAAAGAATTCAATGTTCTTGAATTTACACCATGTCAAAATGGAAGTTTTATCATTCTGTTGTTGTTAAGTGTCATCGAGTTGCTTCTGACACATTAGGGACCCCATATAGCTTTAAATCTTCATGGGAGCAGAAAGCCTCATCTTTTTCCCTTGGAGTGGCTGGTGGGCTGAAACCCAGATCTTGTGGTTCATAGTCCAGTGCTTATCGTATGGAGCCACCTCATTCCCCTTAGTGTCCTTGTTGTTAAGTGCTGTCGAGTCGGTTCCATCCCATAGTGACCCTGTATATGATTTCTGAGGAGCAGCTGCAGAGCTTGAACTACTGACCGTGCAGTTCAAAAGACTGTGTAGTCTGGTGCATTAACCCACAGCGCCACACCAGGACTCCTTAGCATCCAAAAGGGCATCAAATAATGTTCCTTTTAAATGTTTTGTTTTTTTTTTAGTTTGGAAGGCAAAAATAAGTATATAAGGACAAGGTCAGGGTTATAGGGTAGATGGGGTAAGGTTTCCCAATGAAATTTTCACATGACAAACCCTTGCTCCTCTTGAAGAATGAACAGGTACATTATGATTGGGGGCGGGACATTCCTCAGTGCAATTCTCCTGGCCTTTTTCTCACCAATGCAAATTTCCATTTTCTTAAAATGTGTTCCTAATTAAGTCCCCATGGTCACTTCATTCTTTGAGAATATTGATCAAGATTACACTTTTAGAATGTCGAAAAACATCACCGATCCACTGAGCTGACCTCCCTGCCTTGAATTGAACTGGCCTATCAGATCCCCTCGGAAGCCACTGTTTTGATCAGAACTTACTCTCTGTATCTTATTTGATAAATCCATTACTCATTCCTGGTTACAATTCATTCCATAAAATCATGTTCATTAACTTCAGTCTTTCTTAAAAGACTGGTGGAAAGATAAGCTCTTTGAGCTAGATGATCTTTGCGCAATGCTTTTGATACTCCCCCAGCCAAAAGCTTTGCTGAAGCCACGATGTTCACTGGCAATTGAAAATGCCAAACCAGGCAAGTTTCCAACTTAAGCAGCTATTGCAGCAGTGCTAATTCTATGGTCTTCTCCCACCAGTTTCTGGACTTTAGCCAGTTTCTTCATTTGCAGAGGTTTATGAGCTTCCTTCTCTTCGTTCATAATTTTTGGTGTGTATGTGTAGCGTAGTGTTTACGAATCGGGTTGCCAGTCTCTCGGTCAGCAAGCAGTTCGATAGTTCGAAACTACCAGCCATTCCACGGGAGAAAGATGAGGCTTTCTGCTCCCGTAAAGTTTTACAACCTCGGAAACCCTGTACAGGGTCGCTGTGAGTTAGAACCGACTCCACGGCACATAACAACAACAATTTGTTTTGTTTTGTTTTTTAATGTTATTGTTAATTTAATGAAGGTTTGCAGAACAGATCATCAACAAATTATACGCTTTGTGCCATTACAGTTACCTTGGTTCATCTTTGAGGTCTTTCTAACCTTCCTTTGAACGCTTGACCTGTCTAAAAACTGTTATTTTATGGAGGTGGGGGGAGGGCAGCATTACTGTAAACTTATTGCAAGACTGTAGTGGTTTGGAAAGATGTCCACTTGAGTTTTGTTAAAAATTTGATATCAGCCCAGACCTCAAAATATCTTTTTCTCCTGATACAAAAAGTATTCTCTTTTTTTTGAAGGTACCCGAATAAGACTAAAATAAGTGTATAACTGAACAAACTTGTCTTCAGCCATCCAGCGATCACAGAAACGTGTTTAAGCACATTTTGTTTGGAATAAACCTGTACATGTATGAACTGGAACCCTAGCAGCAATACTTTTTGACTCACTCTCATTTTTAATCTTTTTCCCTATATGTTCTGAAATGTCACTATAATGTATTTTGGGGTCAGTCTATTTTTATTCATCCTGCTGACTCTTCCTTTGAAGTCATATATGATTTTTGGGGGAAATTTTAAAAATTATTTCGTAAATTATTTTTAGCCTATCTTGGCACAGGTAGCTGAAGGAAGTGAGGCCCCCATCTAGGAGAAGCAACTTTAGCCATATAGCCCAACCACAGCCATCCTCTCTTTAACCCCAATTGGGCTAGAGTCAACACCAGCAGCTATATACTGAATCAACAGCAGCAACCATTGTCAGCTAAATTTGCCCGGAACTGAACTAGATGAAAAAATCATTTTCCCCATCCTTTTTGTTTGTTGTCTTTTTTTCTGAAAATCTTACATAAATATAAAATCTTCTGAATTGGTTCTCTAACTTACCTTTTCTATTCTTTTTGCTATATCTCATGGAGATTTTCTCATTTCATCTTAAGATTCCTCCATTGAAATTGTCATTTTTGCTTTCATGTTTTTAATTTCTAAGGACCTCTTTCTTACCTTGTCTAACCGATATTTTTCTCACTTATCTGTCCAAAGATAGTGATAGTTTTGTTTTTTGGAGTTTTTGTATATTGCGTTTTTTTCTTTATAGTTTTTTATTTCTGTGATAATGTGTCTAATTTCTAATATTGTCTCAAATCTTTGAGAAAATTCTTTCCCCTGCTAGTGTTGGAATCTCTGACTTAATCTCTGGATCTCTGTCTTTGATATTAGTCATTCTTCAGTTGAGAATTAATCCATAATTTTCTGTTCATGTTTAAGGTAGATTCTAAAAAGCTTCTGGACAGGACTTGCCAACTGTTTCATTTCAGTGTGATCTTACTGAACTTGGTAGTGCCCTTGTTGGTATGTTTAGTTTATCTGGACTGGTGAGATTCTCCAGAGAAGAGGTCTCATTTCTTGTCTGGAAGATAAAAGCCTATGTTCAGAATTCTATAAGATGAATAGGCAAAAGCATAAATTTATTCACTTGGTCACCCTTGTTTTGGAACATAGCCTTAGCTTGATCTGAGCCTGCTGTTCCATATTCCAGAGACACCTGTCTTCTACCTTCTCCAGAGAATAAAATCATAAAACTAGCTGTTCTTGGGATGATAATAAGTGTGGAGCTAAGGTGAAGATCTAGGGATGCTTCCATTTCTTAAGCAGCTTTCATCTAATCCTCCTCATTTCAGCTACCTCCTCCCACTTCCATCACCATCTTTTCCAGCTGTACCTGTTGCGGTTAATTCCTGGGCCTTTTGAAGATTCTTCAGAGTAAGTCCAATTGGTTTTTGGCTTTCCTTACTGTCAGCTTAAGATCCAGCTTTCTTAGATCTGTTAAGTCAATTACCACTTATTCATCTGCTTCTAAAATTTTGTTGTTGCTGACTCTGTGTTTTCCTTGCTCTTGTGTTTTATGTTTAGAAAATAATGCCTTTCTTGTGGCTTTAGTGATGTTTCTGGAGTGAGTGAGAGAGATGTGTGTTCTAGCCGTTCCCTTTCCATTTGTCCAGATATCTTGCTATTATTTCTTATTATATTGGGGTAAAGTGTTTGAAGGTATACCTGGGATGTATGTAGGTAGGCAATTTTCAAATTAAACGAAAGTATCATCATTATCATCATTACTAGCTCTATTGAAAGTTTACTATATGTGAAGTACAGTCACTTTCTCATTCTTATACTCTGATGAGAGAGATACTATAATTTTCTTCATTTTATAAATGAGGGAAATTACATCATAGAGGATATGAGGAACATGCGTAAGGTCATAAAATGGCAGAAGGTCTATGTGCTCTTAACCTCTGTCTTCTTTATAATTAACATCAGCTACACTAGAGTTAAAGTTCATATCCACACAAGCAAGTTTGGAAGCTTAACCAGGGTCAGGGTATATGTCTAAACAGAAGGCCAATCTATCTTTACACTTCTGGTTCTGGGGAGTAACCACCCACAAAGAAGCTGTAGGTATCTTAAGTCTAGTTTATGTCAGAATTGTAGATCTAAAGCCAGTTTAGGGCCTCAGATGTAGGGAGCAGGGGCAAAAGTTGGAGGAATGATTAGGCCCATACAGAGCGCCATAGGGTGATTTTTCACCAGTTTGAAGTGACGTGTCAATGGACTCTTCAAGGCTGATAGTCTGTTGTGCTGTGTGGTTTGCATGCAGTCCCTGGATTACAAATGAGATGCCTTCCTAAGTGTGTCTTGAAGTCAGCTTTGTAGGTAAGCTGGATAGGTGCATACAGTTTTTATTTAGCCTTATTTTGGAGCAAGAAAAGGCTGGACACGTTTTCAGTGATTAAAAAACTGTATGTGCAGCAAGTGAAGGTGATGAGAGTGAAGATTTAATACAGGTAGGGGTTGGTTCACACAAACTCCACTGCACACAACCACCACCACCACCAGTAGTTGATTCAGTCATTTCAGAGTGAGGGAAATTTACTTAACATTCCAAATTCAACATGGAGTTGTCTGTAAGTCAGTGTTTATAAGTTGGATGTTTGGATGTATGTAACCCAGGGATTTACTGTACTTAGCAGAGAATTGGAGTCCTGGTTTGGCACTATAGGATAAACACTGGACTGCTAACCACCAGTCATTCCTTTGAAACCCTATATTTGGTCACTATGAGTCAGAACTGACTTGACAGCACTTAACAACACACAGGGAGCTGCTAAGTACTGATGGCTGGGTAAATGAGATGATAAATCACCTTTTTCTTTTGCTTAAAGCTGAAGGAATTGAAGAATCTGCAGCAGCAATACTTACAGATGACCCAGGAGATCACTGAGTTGCGTCCACTGAAGGCTCAACTTCAGGAATATCAAGATAAAACAAAAACCTTTCAGATTATGCAAGAAGAGTGCAGGCAGGAAAACCTCGCCTGGCAACAGGAGCTGCATCAGCTTAGGTACAGTAAAATCTCCTTTCACCCCTCTTCATTTCCTTTTTTTAGCTTCTTATTTTGAATAATTAGATTCACTGGAAGTTGCAAAACTTGTACAGTGACATCCTGTGTACTCCTCATGAAGGTTCCTGCTGTGATCCATAGCGGTTTCATTGGCAATTTTTGAAAGTAGGTCAGTAGGCATTTCTTATGTTTCTTAATCTGGGAGCTCTGCACCATAAATGACTCTACTGGTTTTGGAAGCGGCATAGATTTCAGCATTCCATCGGCACACAAGCCACCACAGTATGTCGTACTAACAGATGGGTGGTGGTATTCACTTCACTAGCATATATATTTCAAAATAAACCTTAAAGTTTATAGAAAAGAATGCTTTTTAGAATCTATTAAAGTTTATAAAGTAAAATTACATCAATTTTTTTTTTTATATTTAGCATCTTATGAATTTTCTAAAAGTAAAAACATACGAAGCTCATTTCCTGGAGTTGACAACTTCCCCAAATCGCACAAGAACACATTATTATTATTGACCAAATACTAAAGACTGCAGAGTTAAAACTGGGATTTTTTTCTCCCAGTACAAATTTCTTTTACTTCTTTCAGGAATTGAACCTCAAGAGAAAAAAATTAATTGTTCCATTTCAACCTCATCATCATGCCCCCATTCATCCCCTGCCCTAGAAATAACTACTTAAACTTTATTCTGCTAGAATCTCAATTCACCATTAAGAGATTAGATGCCCAGTGTGTCTTCCTTGCAGATACACATTAATACTTACCAATGAATTTAGGGCACTGGACCACAAGGTTGGTTTGAACTACAAGGTTGCAGTTCAAATTCTCCAACCTTTTCTTGGAAACGCTATACAGGGTCGCTATGAGTCGGAATTGACTTGACAGCACTTAACAACGATAATAACAACAAAGATGAATGGGACCACATTGGAGTATCACTTTGATGTTTTTCATATTATGTCCAGATCACTTGGAGCTACAAAATATTGTGTTCAGTGTAAACCTAAGAAAAGCTGTAAAGACTTAATTTCCTTCTACTACCTGTTCCCTTTTAAATTTTCCTCAAAGTGCAATCTAAAAGGATACTTCCCTCATAGATGCTATTGAACTTTAGGGATGAGAAAAGGAAAGAGACGAAGAAAAGAATCACATTGTGTCTGTTGATTGTTTCCCTCTCCTCATTGTCTCCCTTTCTCCTGGCCTGTCTTCATCTTTCACATTTTAGCCACTTTGAAGACACGTCAAATTGTATATTAGGTGGGTGTGAGTGCATTACAAGAAGAAAAGGGAACATTTTGTTTCACTTTTAGAAGGAAAAAAAAAATAAAGACATAGATTTGATTTCACTGATTTTAGGACCAGCTCCTTTATCTGACTATCTTTAAGAATCCCTGCCTTTTGCTCTTCAAACATGAAGACACTGGAACATCATCTTCATGATTCTGTAGACCTTGTTGTTGGTTTATAAGGAGCGCCTGGATTTATGTCGTGACATTTCTCTTCCACCTGCGGCTACTGGTTTACCTTCTACTTTGGTTCCTGTGCTTTCTTATTTTAAAGGATAAATAAGATATAATTTTCCTTCTGGCCGGCTCCCCTTCAGTAATTGGGTTTGTCCTTTAGGTCCCAATCTCCATTGAGGGTCTCCTTAAATTCCATAGCTACTTGTGTTTTGTTGTTAAGTTCCATCGAGTCAATTCTAACTCATAACAACCCTGTATAGGGTTTCCCCAGGAATATCTGGTGGGTATGAACTGCTGATACTGTGGCTCGCAGTCCAGTGATGATCTTTCTCATGCACTACCTTACACCCACTTTTTCTTGTTTTCTTTCACTTTTTTTTAGTTGTCTCACAGAGACAAATATTTCAAAGCAGGTATTTTAGATGCATCTCTGTGCCTTTTGCATATTGTAGCCTTATAATAAAAACTTAGTTTCCAAGATTTAATTCTGCATATTTGAAAAAAATCAGGTAACTGTGATTGTAACCCAAGACACATCTGAGCAGAACAGTTTATGTCATAATGGGTATGTATCAATTAGAGACAAAGGGACCAGACTTGACAGCACTTACAAACAACAACTCTTCAGCTCAAAAGACAAAAAAATAAGAGGTAATTCAAGCAGCTTTGTAATTTTCAGAAAATTAGAGACATTGGTGCTGTTAAAAGTGAAGAGATGCTGGTTTCCACCTGAGTTGTATAGCGTAAGGAGAAGTGGTGGTGGTGGGGGGGGGGGGGTTATGTGCTGTGGAGTCGGTTCCGACTCATTGCGACCCTGCATAGAGTTTCCGAGGCTATAAATCTTTATGGGAGCAGAAAGCCTCATCTTTCTCCTGCGGAACTGCTGGTGGTTTCGAACTGCTGACCATGAGGTTAGCAGCCTGACTTGTAACCACTACACTATCAGAGAGCTGACTAAATAATAGCAGAGGCAGTTTTTGATAGTTCAAACGGAAATTAGCTGGGATCAAATAGAAGCCATTCCCTTTACTAAATTCAAGGAATAAATAACTCGAAATAAAAGCAGCTGATTTATTGAATGCTTACCAAGTGCTAGGCTCTGTTTGTTGCATGACATATACTTGATTTTCACAGTAATTCTCAAAACTAGTAATTCCCATTTTACTGTTAAGGTTCAGGGAACATAAGTAACTTTTACTCAGAGTCCTACACTTTGCTCTATGATAGAGGCAGCAAGTCACCTAGATCCTTCAGACAGTAGAACTTCATTCTCATAACCATGGTGCGTATACTGAGTCAAGGCACTGCCCTTCTGAAAAATTGACATTGTTTCCCATTGCTTACAGACTAAGCCTTTTTTAGCATGGTATTTGATGCCACATATGATCTGTCTCATTCCTCTCCACGCAATTTCAACCATATCCACTCTATACATAGTGGTGGTGGTTATGTGCTGTGGAGTTGGTTCCAACTCATAGTGACCTGTACAGAGTTACCAAGGCTGTAAATCTTTACGGGAACAGAAAGCCTCCTCTTTCTCCCACATAACAGCTGGTAGTTTCGAACTGCTGACCTTAAGGTTCGCAGCCCGATTCGAAACCACTATTCTACCAGAGTTCCTACTCTATATGTACACTACAATAATTCTAAAATTTACCATATACTTTCATTCTTGTGATTTTTGCTTAGTTTGTTCCCTCAATCTAGAATGCTGTCCTTATAAGACCTATCTTAGTTATATAGTGCAACTCTAATAGAAAGAGCTCTGGTAGCATAGTGGTTACTAATCAGGCTGCGAACCACAAGGTCAGCAGTTCAAAACTACCAGCCACTGCACGGGAGAAAGATGAGGCTTTCTGCTCCCATAAAGATTTACAGCCTAGGAAACTCTATATAGGGTCGCTATGGGTCGGAACTGACTCGATGGCACTTAACAACAACAACAACAACAACAATAGAATTACAAATCGATGGCTTATCTCACAGTTTAGGAGGCCGGTGGGACTATTCCAGGCCTTTGGCACTAAAGGGAGGCATTCTTTCTCCTTTCAACATCTATGGGTAAGTTCTCTTTCTCCTTTCAACATCTGTGGGCTCAGCATCTGGTGGAGCTCTCCACGTGTCTTGGCATCAATCTCCTTCTAGGTCAAGGAGGCTCACAATTCAGGGACTCTGGGTCCAAAGACATGTTCTGCTCCCAGCTCCTCTTTCTTAGTGGTAGTGAGGCCCTTTCTCTGCTTGCTTCTTTCTCTCTCCCCCACATTTTTTTTTTTTTTTTCCAATCTCTTGTAAAATTAAAAAGGGATGCAGGTCACATCCCAGGGACATTCTCCTTACATGGATAAGGGCTGTGACCTGAGTTAGCCTGTTGCATCCCACCCTAATCCTCTTACAACTGATGGGGAGATCACATCACATCAAATCATGGGGAATGATTATATCATTACATAAGTCCCAAACCATGGAGAATCATGGCTCAGCTAAATTGACACATATGTGAGGGACATATTCAATTCTGGTATGGCTCTGTAGAATAAGCACTGGACTGCTAATTGCAACTTCAGAGGTTCGAGGCCACCAGCTGTTCCTTATAAACCCTATACAGGGTAACTATGAGTTGGAACTGACTCTGCAGCATTTAACAACAACAACATCAACAACAGCAATTCAATCTATGAGAGAAACCCACCCTTCTCACTTATTCAGGGTTCAGCCCAAATGTCAGCTTTTCCATGAAATACTGCCAGTCCCAGTATGGATTGCCACTACCCAGTCCTGCCAGTTGAATTTTTTGTCTTTGGATCCATCCTCTTACTGCTCAGCTCTGTTTGTATCATATGAAGGGCTTCCAAAAGTTCATTGAAAACTTCCATTCTCTTTCAATCCCATTGTCCCATGAACGTTTTCAAGTCCTCTTATAAGTACCACTCTGATGACATATTTTCTTTACTCTAACCATTTTGCCCATAATGAGAATGATATACCCTGGAGTTGGTTTTGACTCATAATGACCTTGTATAGGATTTATGAGGCTTAAAACCTTTTGTAGGAGCAGAAAGCTTCATCTGTCTTCCATGGAGCATCTGGTGGAATTGAACCACCAACCTTATGGTTCACACTCCAGTCCTTATTCTATAGAATCACTGTGCTTTGCATATGGAATTGTTTTGTATATGGGATTGTCCATATTGGCCTTACAAGTATATTTTCCCCTGAGTTTATTTTCTGTTTGTTTGTTTTTGTAGAATGGAAAAGAGTTCTTGGGAAGTGCATGAAAGAAAGATGAAGGAGCAGTACCTTATGGCTATCTCAGACAAAGATCAGCAACTCAGTCATCTGCAGAACCTTATTAGGGAGCTGAGGACTTCTTCCTCTCAGATGCAGAACCTCCCAGTACAATACCAAAGACAGGTGAGTGATCTCAATGCTAATTGCTCCTCACAGGAAGCAGTTACCCTGCAAGTGCCCACCTGTCACTGTTAGACAAGCCATCTAATGACTTCCTGTGGGGTAGACAGGGTTTGTCCAGAGAAAGAAGTAAGCATGATAAATCTTAACAGAGAACTTCACCAATGCTTGTATCCTGGCAGGCATCTCCAGAGATACCTCCTTCCTTAGATGGGTCACAAAACCTAGTTTATGAGACAGAACTTCTCAAGACCCAGCTCAATGACAGTTTAAAGGAAATGCACCAAAAGGAATTACGAATTCAGCAACTGAACGGCAAGGTAAGTGTCACTACTAGACTAGAACTCAATTTCCTGTTCATGACTGGAGACAAGAAGGTAAGGAAAAAGTGATGACAGCTACGCTCCAGTTGTAGCATGCCTTAAGGTATGGATCATTTATCGATTTCATAACGACTTGCTTTCTCCAAAACACCAAACACAGGGATGCTCCTTTTCTTGGCCCTTCAAGAGCTTTTGGAAATTATATGGAGAAATCCATACTATAGGAGTAAAAACCAACTCCTTTGGAAAGTTAGCCTCCCCAGCATTGTTCTCCATCTGCACCACTTAGTAAGTCAGGTCGAGGAAACTCCCCACAAATTCTACAACAAGCTCCTGTGTATATTCACACCAGTGTGCAACAGGTAAAAGTCTTAGGAAAAGCAGGGAAACTTTATATGTATGATTCCATTACAGGGACTGGGGCTAAGACATCTGCTCTTCATTCCACTCCATTTGTAGACTTCTTCACTTTGTGAAGTTTTCTTTTTAACAGACTTCAGCTGTACCACTCTAGACACTTCCGGAAAACATGCTGGAGTGGAAGGTTCTTCTAGAGGAAGAACCACTCTGACATCTGGTGTTAGGGCACAGTTACAAGACAACATTAAAGAAAACTCTTATTGAGTGCTTTCTTTGTCTTCACTTCTCCTCAATTCTTTGGTTGCTTCTTCAGTGGCCCCTTTAGGAATCAGTGGCCTCCTCTTACTCTCTCAGTAGGCAAAATATTTTCCATTGGTACCTCTCCTAGCTCTGCCCTTTTTAATGAAATCTAAGTATGTAGTTCATGTTACACCTAAAAGGGACTTAAGAAATCAGTCAGACTCTGGAATTCAAAGTGCAGCTGTGGGGAGAGCTCTGAATGTCCAGAAATTTAAGGTAATGTGTACACAATTTGCTCATGAGTTCTTCCCAAAATGGTAAAGTTCAGCAGGTTCTTTTCACAGAGGTGTTAAGGCCCAGAGATAATAAGTAACTTGCCTAAGGGAGTATTAGGTCAGTCTGAAGTTAACTTCAGTAAAGCTCAACTCCTGACACATGTTTTTAGGTTAGGTTAGGTGACATGGAGCGGGCTTCAATTCACAGTGACCCTATACACAACACAATGAAGCACTGCCCATTTCTGTGCCATCCTCACAGTTGTTCCAGTTGACCCCACTGCTGACCCTGTACTTTACCAAGCATAACATCCTATTCCAGGGACTGGTCCCGCCTCATATTATGCCTGAAGTAAGAGAGACGATGTCTCACTATCCTGACTTCTAAAGAGCATTCTTCTTCTTTTTTTTTAAGCTTTTGTTGTGAATTGAGTGAAGGTTTACAGGGCAGATCATCAGTTTTACATTCTAGAAATCATTGTAATGATTACAGTCCCCTTCAGTTAACAGTATTTACCTCTGTTATCTTTTTTTCGATACAAATATGTCACACTGAAAATATATATTTGTTGAAATGTCCGGAGGGCACATTTTGCAAACCAGCCTCCTGCCCACAGGCACACTGCTTTTCTGAGTCCATGGGCCTATAATCCTTTGCTGCTAAGGAGCATTCTTGCTGTACTTCATCTAACACAGATTTGTTTGTTGTTCTGGCAGTTCATGGTACCCTCAGTTTTCTTCTCCAGCACCATAACTCAAATGCTTCAATTCTTCCATTCTTCCCTATTCATTGTCCATATTTCAGATGCATATGAGACTGTTGAAAAGACCGTGGCTTGGGTCAAGCACACTTTAGTCCTCAAATTGATATCTTTGCTCTTGAACACAATAAAAAGGTCCTGTGCAGCAGATTTGCCTACTACAATGTGTCATTTATGTATCCCACTCTTCCACCCATGCACCCCATTCAGCCTGTATCTGTCCATGTGTCTACACACAGAACCCTGTTGCTCCAAAGTTGTGATTCTATCACTGTTTACCTCCATCCCCTTTAGTCCTTACATGCCTCCCTGTGTTGTGTCTTCACCTGTCTTCACCATTCTTCACCATTGAATGTGTTCAAGGAAAGACTGAGTTTAGACTATGTATCATTCATTCATGCACCTGTGAGTCGATGCTTCCAATATAGTTTCTTATGTGTACATAGGCCTGTTAGTATATATTGTTTCTCTCTCCTACCATGAATTCAAGTATCTGTTTATTCTACTCTGTTGGTGATTTGTAATTCTATGGCATTGAGGCCTCAGTAATGATGTTAGATGAATTTTTAGGTGACAGCTCTGTCCCCAGCCATATTGAGCTCTGATAACTATAGTCATTAATTAGTAACTTAAACTTGGACCCAGGTTACTGCCTGCCTCCTCTGAAATACCTGGGATAGGCTATCCTATTAGATGACTTGCTTCCTGGTTTTTCAATTAACATACTGTGAAACATATAAAAAAAAGTTTACTGCTACTCTGCTAGAATGATTTTCCTTTCTCAGTTGAAAACATTTGGAATTGTCTTATTTTCAAAGAACAGAGAGTGCTATAGTCGTTATTGGTGAAATAAGAGTCCTTCATCAAACAATTTGATCTTTAGAACTCAGGCCAGTTAGCCAAATCCATGTTTTTTATAAAAAAGTTCTGTCAAATGGTACTTCTCTCCTCTTGGTTTCAGTTCTCTCAGCTACTTGAAGAGAAAAATACCCTTTCGATTCAGCTCAGTGATACCAGTCAGAGTCTCCGTGAGAACCAGCAGCATTACAGTGACCTTTTAAATCACTGTGCAGTTTTGGAAAAACAAGTTCAAGAGCTGCAGGCGGTAAGAGATGAAAGACTGGGGAAAGTGTTACGGAATTGTGTGCAAGTGCTAAAGCATGTGGCGCAGCTTTGAAGAAGGGTCAGGCTGAAGATGAATTTGATGTGATGGAGGCAAGTGGGAGAGAAGAGAACAGTAATTGAAATGTAAGAATAAAAAAGTACAGCGTGAAGGGGTTAGAAGACAAAGATCAGTGAGATGGTGGGAGAGAAATCAATGGAGTGGGAAGCATTGATGACTGAGGCTGTAAGACTCTGAAACGAAGACAGTATTTAGCATATTTTGATCTGAGAAGTCATATAAGGCAGAGCTATTGGAATCCTGCTATAGTGCTGTAGAATAAGCGATAGATACAAGGTTGATTTGAACCTCAAGGTTGGTGATCCAAACTCACCAGGTGCTCCTCGGAAACTATGCAGGGTCGCTATGAGTACCGTCTCGACAGCACTTAACAACAACAACAAATGGTAGTATTGAATAGGAGTGCACTCTTAAAGTGAGAGACTGAGCATTAATAAATTGGACGTGTAAGAAAAAGGAATGTTATGAGGGAAGGTTGAGTAAGGGAAGGTCAGAGTTGTTGATGTTGTTATTCGGTGCCATCAAGTCAGTACCAACTCATAGCGACCCTGTGCACAACAGAGTAGGTCCTAGAAATCCATGGGTCTCCACAAGAAGAAAGCAAAATTGGTGTTAAACCTTTAAATTTCTAAGCGGAGAGATTTGTGGATGAGAATCTGGGATAAAACCTAATAAGACTTTTTTTGCCAAGCATTAATCTACTTGCAAGCGAATCCTCACCTTCTAAATCTGAACTTAAGGACTATTATAAGTGGAGTTATACCTCCCCAAGATTTTTCATTCTCTCCAATGCTAAATGAGTTCTCATTTTGCCTATGTGTACACAGTCCTGGTGTTGGGCTGTAGGATAAGCACTGGACTGCTTTTCAAACCCACCAGCCGCTCCTCAGAAGCTCTATAGAGGGTCTCTATGAGTTGGAATGAACTCAACAGCACCTAGCAATGACAGTTTCATATAAGCTTTCACCACTGATTTATGATGCCTTTTGTTTCAGGAGTCAGTAACTATGGATGTTGCTCCAGGAGCTCCCCAGGAAAACAATGGAACTCAAAGAAAGAATGATCCTGAGGAACTGAGGCAGCCACAATTAAGGTAGGGGAGCGAGACACAGCCCAGGGCATGCGCTACATAGGCAGTAGTTCAGTTGGTAATCTAAATTGAACTGGACTTACTATGTCTTATTGTCTTCTCAGTCTCACAGAATTGATGTGTACATTAAATAGCACATTCATGTGTAAGTAATTGTATGAAAAGTTTATAAAGCAAAAACCCTGAACACCAACATACACATACAGAGAACACTAACAAACACTGTAAATAGTAGGAGAAAAGCTAGTCCCCCAAATCTCCAAAAGCATTTTCTGAAGCTTTATTTAGTATCTGTATAACTAAGCTTTTTAAATATTCTTTGTGTTTCCATAATTTTTTCTCTTTTCTAACTTTAAGAAGACTTCCTGAACTGAATCCCATTTATCAGCAACTGTGT